CCAGTTTACAATTTTTTAAACGTAGTTTATAATAAATATTTTAATATAAACTATTAATCAAAACAAATAGCTCACAAAAATCTGATTAAAAAATTAGAAATTTGTTATGTAATTAAATAATTAAATTATGTATTTTTAATTAATTACTTAGACAAATAATGTCTAAACGAAAATAATTTTGGAATACAGTATATTATATTACATTACTGAAAATATATTAAACCATCTTTGAACTACAGTACTTTAATTTGAAAAAAAAGAAAAAAGGTAAATGATAAAGCGTTATAGTTCTCGATGAAGGCTTATGTAAAAAAAATGCATGAAGCACGTCAAGTGCATACAACGACATTTAATATTACGCTTATATTTCCCTGCTTTTTAAATCTTTCATATAAAGACCAACAGCGATTAAATCATCTTTTCCACCTGCTGCACGCAAATATTTTATCAAGACATCCCTGTCTGCGTGTGGTAATACGTCGCATAATCTGTTTAAAGCATCTTCATCAATGACAACTGAATTGGACAAATTAGTATCCGTCTTTTCTTCAATAGTCGGGAAAGATAAAGATGATGTATTAGTTGATCCAAATAATAATTTTGAAGAAACAGCTTGAAAACTAAATCTCCTTTGACGTTTAGGTGAAGTGGTTTTCGGTGATTTTGGAGACAAGGGAGTTGAATTAGCAGATGGGTCATTCATCACAGCTGGAGGCATGTTTATCATTGGTCGACCAGACTTACTAATACTACCACGTCTATTCAGATTGAAGATGTTAGGCGTTTTAGATTTGGGTGACGTGGGTGGGGATAATGGACGATGAACTTTGGGTGAGCTGGTTTGAGTAGCTATATCTAAAAAAGTCCGCGCAAAAGATTTAGAATTCAGAGAACTTGAATAAGCTGATACATTTACATCCGCAGAACTATCTGTGGCACGCGATGTCGATGACAAGGTTGGTTGACTACTGGCGCTCGTTGCTAAAGAAAGGTTAGAGTATATTTTAGTCACTGCCAAACTTGCAATGGATGGTAAAGTTTCATTAAATCTCTTTTTGTAATCTGTTAGGAGAAGGTAAAGATAAATTATTTTTCAAAATTAATTAGTTTCTATATAATAGCTTAAATTAAAAACATACTTTTTATAGACAATGGCAGTTCTCTTATAATATTTAAGTTGAGCCATGATCGTAATCCTGTATCTTCCTTTTTCAACAGTTCAAATTTTGCGGCTTTTGATAATTGATTAATGAATATATAGAATTGTTATTAAAATTGTGCGAAACTGA